CACCCCCTGCCCCGTACCCTGCTCCCCCCGCCCCGACGCACAATCACCCCCTGCGGAGCAAGCACCTTGCCCCGATCGCGGCGGTGAAATAATCACCGCCAGCAATCATCACGTTCTGAGCGCCGGAAGCCCCGGATGGTAATCGAGAGTCATGAAAAAGGGCTGTCGGCGCACCTGGCGGCCTCAGTCGTCGACGCACGCCCCACGACGCCGACGCCCCCGACGCTAGCAACGACGCCGTCATGAGCTGCAGCAGCCTGCGCGCGGCCGTCGCCGCCGTCCTGGTCGCCCTGGTCGCCGCCCACTGCGCGGTGAGTGTAGCAGCCAGAGGAGGGCGACATGGAGCATGTGTGCCACTGATGATCGAGCAAAAGTGTTCTTATGTTCTTTGATGTGTGCAGGAGGCGTGCATGCACCACCACATGGTGGTGGAGGAGACGTGCCAGCGGTGCCAAATGATGCCGCACTGCGCACCGCAGCAGCAGCCGCAGCCCCAGCAGACCCTGCTCGTGGGCATCCCCTACCCGCAGGTGGTGCAGACCCCCGTGCCCGTGCCCGTCCCCGTCCCCGTGGTGGCGCACCACCACCAGCAGCAGCAGCAGCAGCAGCACCACCACCAGCAGGAGCGGTGCGCCTGCGGCGGCAGCAAGCACGACGGCACCTGCACCTGCGGCCAGAAGCCGACGTGCCCCTGCGGCGGCAGCAAGCACGATGGCACCTGCACCTGCGGCTGCGAGAAGAAGAAGTCGTGCGAGAAGGTGTCGAGCCTCGCCGAGGAGGGCATCAGCACCCTGTTCAAGGTGGTGCGCGGCGGCATGAAGATGGTGGAGCACCTCGCCGACTCCATCAAGAAGAAGGAGGCCTGCTGCCCCAAGAAGAAGCCCTGCGGCTGCTGCGGCTGCGGCGGCGGCTGCGGTGGTGGTGGTTGCAGCGGCGGCTGCTCTGCGGCCGTCCCCGTCATCCCCGTCGTCGTGGGATCCACCGGCTGCGGCTGCGGCTCGGGCTGCGGCTGTGGCTGCGGACACTGAGCCACCCGGGCCACATCCTGCAAAGTACAAAAATCAAACCGCGTCGAGCGGTCGTTGTTGAGGGCCACTCTATTTTCCGTGGCACGCCCCTCGCCTAGCAGAGCTCTCTTCGTTGGCTTTAACGGTGCTGCCCTGTGAGCGGGAGACGGGGGCTCATCTAGGCGAGAGTGGCGTGCCCTTCCCCACTCCCTTCTCTCCCTCCCTCTTTCACTCTCTCTCTATCGCACGCCGCGCTGCATGCGCTGGAGAGCTGATGAGGACACGCTCCAAACCCCCGTGCTATCGGGTCTACGTCATGTGTAGACTGTGTCGTACGCATCGGGACCATTGCGTTAAGACTTTGTTTCAATTTCGTTTCCTTAAAAAAATGTTAACGTTTTTGTGGTCTTTTGCTAAACCGTATGTGATTTAAATAAAATTCAACTTCACCGTCCCACCAAACTTCTTCAGTCGTATTACTCGCTTCCTAGTGAACGACGGCATGTCGCAATGCCATGCAACGCAGCCCGACTCCACCGTCTCGCCGGTGAATCTTATCGGACAAAACTAGGGAAAATAACAGAGATCGTGACAGATGTTGGTGGCAGATAATTTATTTGACGAAGTAGTCATTCTATTACAGATCTGCTTCCCTCCTCATGGTCGTGTAGTTCATACGCAGATAATTAAATAGCTTATAAGAATGAGGAAAGTAGGTCCGAGGGTCTCGAGCACCCAATTACAAACATAATAATATTATTAACGATGAAGGATGTGAGGTGTGTGGTGTATGAGAGAAAAATGGGAAAGGTACTGTTTTAACTGTAGTTATGATAGGAACAAGATTGAAATGTAGATAAGCCTGGGCCTCTGCATTTTGCTCAGACGTTCGCAACGGGGGCGTCGATGGCCTCCTTGACCTTCTTCTGGACCTCGACGGCGGCCTTGGACACCTGATCCATGACGGACTCCAGGCTCTTCTTCATATCGGCCTGGACGGGGCCAAGGTTTTCAGCCAGCTTCTGAGTCTCGGTGACGAGCGTCTGCATGCTGGTCTGGAGGGTCTTCTGGAGCTCGCTGGCCTTGGCCTGCACGGTGGGCACCTGCTTCTGGAGGTCCTCCACGGTGGTGTTGATCCTCTTGGTGATGGCGGAGACGGCCGAGTTGAGGTCGGGCTTGGAGGAGATCTGAATCAGCAGAAAACAATAATATCACATATCCACCAAATTTGATATTTTTGAGAAAAGTATGCTTGTTTTTTTTTTTGTTGGACGTGTACCTCAGTCACGATGTCGCTGATCTGCTTGGCCAGGTCCTTGCCACCCTGGATGATGGAGTCGGCCACCTTCTGGGGCTCGGGGAGCTCCTTGACGCCGAGGGCCTTCTGCACCTCGACGGCCATGGTGTTGATGGCATTCTGTGTCTTGGCGACAATCTCGTCGAACTTGACGGGCTCGGCGGCCTCCGGGCGGGCAATCACCTTCGCAAACAAAACGAGCGAAACCAAAAATCAGTTAAAGATCAAACAGTGGGCATAAATGTAAATAAAAAAAATTGATGACTGCCGATCTTCGGCATATCATCACGTGGGTCGAGCGCGACGGCCGCGTTGGCGTTGGCCGGGCACGGCTGGGTCAGCATCCTGAGTCAGGTCCCCGCTAGCCTAGCCGCGCCACGCTGGCCCTAGACTCGCCAGGCCGCATGGCGACAACGCCTTTGCAACCGCGTTATCGACATGTGACATAAGGCTCATAACAGGAGGCGACCTCCGGGCGGGGCGGGGCGGCGACCCGCAGAGGCAGCCTGGCAGCAGCAGGGTTATCGCCGAAAGGGAAGGGAAAAGTCCCCATAGACCCGTGACCAGGGTGCAGCAGTCGTGGTCGAAAACAGGAAACGGAGATAGTGAGTGGAGCGGGAAACGTCCCACCGGGCCCCGGGGCGGGAGGGGGTGGGGGAGGGGCCGCTTGGTGGTACACGCAACCGCACCATCCCGTTGCTATGGTGTTTTCCACCATTTCAATATTTTTTCAAAAATGACGGGTCTACGAATGAATCAACAGCGCAGTGGTGACGAGTGTGTTTTCTTCCCCCAGTTAAACGAAGCCAACGCCCATCTGTCGCACTGATTTCGTTTGATGGTTTTCTGTCACGATATCTGAGAGCCGTAAAAAGAAGAGAATAACGCACTACGAGGCGTACAGGGCGTTGGCTGCGGGTTCAAGGCGGTGAACCCGGCGGGTGCACTCGAACGGCGCGGACGTCCCGCCGCCCCGCCCCGCCTTGTCCGGCCGCCTCCTCCATCGCGATGTGCGTAAAGTCCTCGATAATGTCCAGGAATTTGTCTGAGCAGCAGGCGAGAGCCCTAGGGCGACAGTGCATCATGAGAGGCAGAGCGCGCAAGTTGGTAAGGCAATTAAAAGAGATCTCACCACTCAAGCTTGAGTTCTGGACGGCACGGAACTGCAAGTCCAGCCTTCCAAAGAGAAAAGCAGCCTTGCTGAGAGGAAAACTGAGTGCACACTTTCTAATCGTGGTGCAACAAGTGTGCAGGGCCCCCAGCCCCTTACCCCGTGTCACCTGCACTTTACACCCTTGGAATGATCTGATCGTTCCATTTCCGCCATCCCCACACAAAGTAAACTTCACGTGACGGGGCCAAGGGGACGGCGGCGGCTCTCGCACATAGGCCCTACGACACTCTTCATATATACCTCCCGCAATACAGTATTATAACACCTCGTTGTATATGTATGTATACATTACGTATATGTTGTATATATACATTCACACAGTACACCTCAATTACACTCACCTGCGCGAGGCAGAGTGCCGCCAGAACGAAAACGACTTTGTAGGACATGGCGGCTGGGTTGCTGTGGGGCTCGGTGCGTCTGCCTGGGATCCTGACCACGGACTGACTCGGGCACGGCGGCGGCGGCAGTAAGGCCTTAGGCCCTGGCGTGACCCTTGCCCTCCCCTCCGCTCCCGCGCTGCTCCCCTCCCTCTCCTCTTCCTGCTCTGCCCTCCTCCCCCACCCCGCCGCGCCGACACAGCCCCGCTAGGGTGCCCGACCCGTGCCCGACCCGTCGTCGCCCACCCCCCGCACCCGCACCCGCCCTGACGGCGCGACGACGACGCGATGCGCGGCGGGCGCAGCTGTAGGGCGGCCGCAACTAAAACCTCATTAGAGCAATTGGTCAGGAAAGGCAGGGAAAACGCCAAAACGAGGGAAAGTCTTTGGGAGACCGAAAGGGCAGTAAGCGAAAGTATTTCATTGTAATGGAGATGTGGGGTCACATTCAATTTAGGGGGGGATTTGTCCTCGAGCAGCGAAACATCATTATTTCTTGGATTTCTTTGTAGACATCAGTAGACATTCCTCGATGACACCAACTTTCGCTCCTCTTCGGGGAACCGATAAGGCTAAGGGGGTCGCTCTTGCGATCATCTTTGTAATATAGATGATGTATATGTGTGTGTGTTTGTGCGTGAGAGAGAG